GAGATATCATTCAACGTAACAGCTGCTGACTCAAGTCTCTGCTGTTTCCTTATTAAAGGGTCAGGGCCAAAATTCCTCTTATAGACAGCATTTCATCAAAAGAAAGGGTTGGTCTTTTTTCACAAGGACTGCTCAGCTAGCAATGCACTGAATATATTTTTCAGAATGCATTTTTCTGATACGACAGCTTTTGAGAGCTTAAAAATGTTCAAATGGGATGCAATCCAGGTAAATATAGAACTGCATGTGATTATTTGAAAGACATCTATACTGCAGTAAATCATTAGTATTATGTGCACTAATTAATTAACAGATTAACAATGATACAAACATTTTAATCTAAATGTATTTAAATATATCTTATCTAAAACACAACATACTTCCAACATTTATGCATAACATCCTTTTGTATACTAGTCTATGGCTTCTCTATGTACAGCTATGGAAACCGCAAAGGATTTCCAAAAATCCTTCAGCAAAATTACTTCCAGTGAGTAATTACAGTGAGCTCAGGCAATTCTCCTTTTGAACTCTGTCAACCTTTCACCAGATTTCATGAAATAATTACAGTGCATTCAAGACAATGCTTTCAAAACTTTAGTGAATGGTCATTAGCATTTCATCAAACATGTTATCATGTCTGCCGTTGTGGCCAATTAAAAAATGCCTAAAGATGATTCTCTGCTAATTTCATTGCTGTTGTTTTATCATTATGGCACTACCCAGTCGTGTTAAGTCGACCAGGTGATATTTTCATGAGAATGCTTGATATGAACTTTAATTTGCACATAACAATGTTGTAGTTGTAGTTGAACACCCCATGACCCTTTGCGAGCCAGCATGCTGTCAACTTGTCAGACTAGTTGAAGAAATGGTAACACAGATCACAGACATGGCCCTAAGCCCTTTACGCCTGCAGGGATATGTAGGACACCAAACATTGCTCTCTCTCTCTCTCTCTCTGCTCGGCCTTTTGAAAAGATCAGAAACAGACGTTTCACATAAATATGAATTTAGTTGAAATGAGTGTCTATTATAGTGAATAGGCCTAGTTTAATAGCCCAACTAAAGATTCTCCATGTTAGATTTAGTACGATACTGGTATGAATGCATGTTGAAATAGAGCAGAAGGTTGGAGTTTTTGTTAATATTTCCAGTTTTTGATGTTAAATTTATTGAAAAACAATACATTTAACAGATTTCTGCTTGGAGTGTAAGCATGCCCTCCACTAACATGATCTTACTGGTTCAGTTCATCATTACAAAATCACCATGACCTCTCTAATTTCAGCATATATCATACGCCTCTTCATCTCGCTTTCTGTTTGAAAAAATACCCCTAAAAAAGATTTATAAAATAATTATTTATGATGAGCAGGTCTGCAACCTCAATATTACAGAGGATCGACAGAAACATTCTAAACATAGTATTCAGCAGTTTTCATCAATTCCCACAGTGATACAGCTTCCAGGCTGAATCCAGATTAATTTCTTCCTTAAAATATTTTATTCATTGCTGCCTTGGCTGCCTCACAGGATTTTGAGGTTCCACCGGTTTGACGTTTCACTGGTAATGAAATCCATGAGTACTATATCAGATGAATATAGCTTATACAGCATACACTATTAAACATGACATGTTTGGCACTTTTCCTGGTAATGTGTTTTATTTGAATAAATGTAAAAGTTAACATAATTGTGCATTGTGTTATGAGACATTGCATGTCAATACAAAGTCTTTCTTAGCTTTTTCATCATTTTTATTAGCAGTGCTGGTGTAGAGAGAAGAGGAAACAGAGGGGGAAATGGGATCGGCAAACAATGCAAGCCGCTATGATAATAATAAGTATGGAACATTTTTGTATTTAAATGATTGTGTTGATAGATGGATAAGTTAAGTCCTATATAGTTCACCCATAATTAACTGCAAGAGGACAAGCATTCTGATTCTGCATTTTCAAAACAACTCCTAAGACCAAATGTGTACTAAAATATATATCCAGCTCATTTTATATACATATTCTCTTTTTCTGCTTTATAATTGCACTCTAATGCATTACCACCTCCTCTTCAGTTAGCTCTCCTTTGCTGATGAATGTCACACAGGGCAATAAAATGCATTACCAATGAATAGTTATTTTTTGCCCTTTGGGTAAAAATGTGCATTGAGGAACTTGGTTTGATCTCACTATTAACTCACACACAGGGATGCACAACAAAATCCCTAGCCTAGAGGCACATTAAAGGCCTCATTTCCATTACATTGTGCCTGTAAGGGAAATTTATGCTTTATTTACGCATTCTAAGTGAAAAGTGATAAAAGGACGGGAAAGTAAAACACAGAATAACAAACAAATGTAACAGCAGATGTATTATCGTATACCTAGAGGCTCTGAGGTATGATAATTTAAAGCACATGATGGGAGAGTCTTTAGGGATCAAATCTCTTTTGTTTCTATCTAATTCTCTGATTAAGTATTCATAACACAATGCATGATAGCCTCACTGTGGCACTCCTGAAAACACAGCAGTTAATTTTCATGGGTTAAGAATTATTTTCTAGTGTATAAGATTACATTTGCAATTTGTTTTAATGTTGCAGCTAATGTCATTTCTGTATGAAAATAGCGCTTTTTCCATAGATGAGGAATGAAGTCATGGTACTTAAGTTCACAAGACCATATCAATCAGTGGACAAGGCTATTAACACTAAGAAAGCTTTCAGACCAGCAAAGCAATTAACATAAGCTTTTAAAGGGTCAAAACTTGATGTTTGAGAGTTCATGTCTTGCGTTTATAAGCAATGCAGATAAGACTGACGTGAAGATGGCTCAATAAGGAATATTCTTGCCAGATTTACCTGATTTATTTATTGCCTTTGACCTGAATTGATTCTATTACCATACTGTTAAAAGATAAAAGGCCAAAAAAGCAACACCGCACATGCTCTAAAATATTAATAGACTCATAAATATCCATGGGAGATGTGCCTATAGCAGAGGATATAGCAGAGATTCATTGGGAGCCACAACCCATGGCTAACTTAATATAGTACAATGTAATGTTTTTAATGCCCTCTGACCCGTGCATCACACGTATTTGCGAGTCTGCGGTCAGTCCAGCCCCAGTTGCAACTACAGGCAATGCTCCGGAACAAGCAAGTCTGAATAAATAAAGAGCCATTCACACAGGATATGTTTACATTTGTAACGCCACACCAGCAGAGGGAGCCCTCGCCTGAGTACTGACACTCTTATCCATGAAAGCAGCCGTCGGGCAATGGAGACACTGGTTAGAAGGGGCAATCCACCCATTTCAAGTAATAACTGATCACAAAAATCTTGAATACATCAAGAGTGCCAAACGACTAAATCCACGGCAGGCTCGTTGGTCGCTTTTTTTCACCCGATTCCAGTTTACAGTGACATACTTCTGCAAATGGATTCTAACGCTGCCTCAGCCTCACTGTTACAACATTTAAAAAAATCCCTACTGCAAATGAATGGGAAAAAACCAGGACATAACAGTGTTAGTCTATGTATGCATAAATTGTTAACTAAAAATACTGGAAATGCAAAGTGATAATATTTTAAAAGGTATTGGAAAACAATGTAAAGCATTCAAATTATCATTAGCATGCTTTTCTCAGCTATATTAATATATGTGATTAATCAGCATTTCATGCAATTAATTTGATTACATATTTGAATCACTTGATACACTACAAATATGTTATTCTTAATTAAGGGTTATTTAAATTCAATATTAATTCTGTATAAACACAAAAGCATTTGATGGACAGTTATAGTTTTACGTGCATATGCATAGGGCCTTATATATGCATAAAAGACTATAAAAGTTCATCAGGTGATGGACTATTTGTGTGGGCGCATTTTTTTTTTTTATTTTTAGAAAAGTGTGGTTTTGCTTTTATCTCCCATGACATCATCTTTTAGCGTGGGTCAGTCTTGCCACTTCCTTATCTGAGAAGATGTTTACTTCCTGCCTTACGCTGACATTATGCTAGACAGAGCCACTCAGTGGAAAAAAAAAACAGACCTTTCTCTCCTAAACATCCAGCACTTAAGATGTGAATTGAAAGCATCTGTGGAAGTAGGGCTTTATAATCTCATAAATTTCGATCGATCGGAGCAAGCAAATTAAATGTTCTCTTTCTCTCGAACTGCACTGATGTGTAAATATCATCCCCACTAAAGATAATTCGTCCTGTTGCCCTTCCCAAATTTATAGCCCTTGCACCAATGGTCTCTGATGTAATGGTATCCTCTCTGTAGCATTTATAAGTCAGAGGATGCATGCATTAACACGCCGTGAAATATTCCTGCTTCAGGTTATGAAAATGCAGGCTGCTAAAACCACCTCACGGTTTACAGAATGTGTTATACTGCCGGCTATATCCAGACGCCTCTGTGTTTTCCTCTGTGTTTTGTGAGATGTCTGCTTGATGAATAATTTATCTGTGGGTATTTCAGAGCTGTGCTTCTACAACCCGTGTGCCATGTGAATGAACTATTCCCAGGTGAGCAGCGGTGGCAGCTGCAATGGTGGAGTTGATTGAAAAATGATATTCTCCGAAGACCGAAGCGACGTGTAAGCGGCGGCCCTGAGTACTAGCAACACAGCCAATGAAAATAAAACAAACTGTCATTTCTGAGCGAATTTCACTGGCGTAATGAGCCAGAATAAAGTGACAGTTAAATAGTGTACTTGTACTCAATCCTGACGCTCCCTAGGGCTTAACGTAAATCCACTCTGTGCCAAAATAACACCTCGCTCATCTCTCGTCACAGTACTGTCTGTTTTCATTACTGCACGAAGGGCTAAAATAGGATATTCATCTAAACACTGCAAGTCTTTCATGCCTACAGGCAGAACTTAGTCGCTTGCACCCTGCATGTGTTAGCTGACAGCAGCAGGCATCTCTTCACACATCTGGTTATACGGTTCTATTTCTGCACTCAGCTTCTTTTTTTTTTTACCTGTCTGTGGTTTCCTCCTCACAGGGATCCTCCGGATTGCTCTTCACATCCTCATGGCTGCTCTTCACCTCCTCTTTCCTGGCACTGCAAGGTGAGTTGCTCTTGGGAAGCTCCTCGCTGGCTTGGAGGTGCTGGATGATGTTTTGCTGGTGCCATGATTGATCGCCTGGCCTGACATAAACAGGCGTGGGTCCAGGGTTCGGTGCCAGAATGCTGTGCACGGGGCTGTTGTTCTTGCGGAGTCCTCCTCTGTCCCGGGAGTGACTCTTCAGCCGGACCGGTGTTCCCCGGTGGTCGAAACCTTCCTGTTGGATGTAGCCTCCATTCCCAGCTGAGGTCTGAGTGCTGTGGCTGAACCAGCGCCAGCGGAGCCTGAGGATCTGCTTCACGTCAAACTCCTTTTTTCCAGACACAGACATCCTATTCGCCCTCGATGTGATGCCAGTGGCACATGGAATCCGAAGAATAACGAGGCTGAGTCTCGGCTTCAGTGGCTTCACCTCTTTTGTCTTTGTTGCTGGTTCTGGCCAATAAAGGGACGGTGTCTGCAGCTTCTGCCTTGTGTCTTATTTCCCCTCTTCTCCAACTCTGTCTGCTCCTTGTCTTTAGTTATAGCGCGCACATGATATCCTCTGCCTGTACCACCCTCCTCCCTTCCCTTTGTCGTTCTGTGTCTCCCTGCACATACGACACACACACATACACAACACAGAAAATTAGGAACGCTTACAGTATCCTGCTCTGATTCCAGACGCAAATAACGAACAGCTCTTACCCAGGAAGCTGAGGTGCCAAACTGACAGGACGCAGAGGTCAAACCTTAGTGGGGAAAATCTTGTAGCACAGGAAGGAAAGCCAAAACCAGCACCATCTCCTTCCACGAGCAGCATCATCTGCGCTCGCACTCACACTCTGCCCCTTTCCTTTCTGTGTGCACACACATGCTCTTTCCCTCGCTCTAGCTCTCTCTCACTCTTCACGCATGCACATAGACATGTCTCCTCGCACAGTCCCCCATCTGATGGGATCCCGAGGGAGACGGTCTCAGCCTCTCAGCGAAGGAAACCATGCAGAAAAAATATTCTCTCCCTGTCTGTCTCAAGCCGTAGTGACAGATAAACACCAAAGTGTTTCACTGTTTTGACTTCGCCAGTTAGTATTTCATCTCAAGTAATGTTTGTCAGTATATGTGACTGTGTGAACTGTGCTGTAAAATTGCGGTATGCATACATCTTTCATTGGTATATCCAAAACATTCTTTGATCTCTGAATACATCAACTTGCGAGAAATATATTCGTAGATGGTAACAAATTCTTTTCTACTATTATTTTTTAACGCAAACTGAAAAAATCCCCCTTAAACTGTATATATGGGAAAAGAAAATTTTTATCACAATACTAATATTTGTTGAGGTTGGTATGTGATCACACTAACTCATTTTATTTATTTATTTTTTTTACATCTGAGAGGTTGTGTTTATCCTATAGACTGTTAGAAATGGTAGATCTAGATGCGCTGCAATGTATGTCGTATTGCTCATTGTCTGTTTGTATCCCAAGATTTTCTGGTTTTATACTGCTGATACTGATAATGTGCATTCATGTGCATTGCATTCAGTTGGCTGTTCTATTGCTATGCTGAAAATATGGATACCATCCCATAATCTTTTATATTGCATCTGTTATGTGAGGAGTTCCCTTTGCTTTATTCCTTAGAGTGGTGGAGGGGTTTTGAGCCTCTGACAAATTTGCAAATCAAAACATTAAAGTAAAAATGAAAAGAGAGAGCCATAGGTCTTGTTTTAAGGTGATATGTACCAAATCATCAAAGCAGTAAATGTAATTTTTTTGCCCAACATCAGCTTTCATTACAATATATTTTTTATATTTTCAATATATTCAATATATTTTTGTTGTTTTTTATTTAGATAGCAAATTTGCTTAATTTCTGATTGTTTCAGAACTTTGTTTTAAGAATATTTGAACCAAATGTGAAATATTTTGCACCCTGTATCCTATATCCTGAGGAATTATTAATAAGAATGAGTTCCCCTGTTCACAAGACTTGAAAAATGTCTAGTATGTTAATATATATATGTGCATGTATTTGTATAATGGTACTGAATTTACAAGTGAATCTGTGAAATGCTCAAAATACTACAACAAATTTGTCAAATGAAGCCATTGCTAGTTGCTCTGAATAGAAACAAAAATTGGCAAGACATCTGTCATCCAGTTTCTTGTCATTGTGGCAGATAAGATTAATTACAGGCTTGGATGTATCTTTTTTTCTTTTTGCTTGAAAACTTACTATCAGTATTCATACAAGCTCAAACAATTTATATAGCTTAACATATCAATAAACTGAGGGTGAAGATTTCTCAAAGATTTACGATCAGTACCAAATATGAGGGCATACAGAGCAAACCATGTTAATTTTCAAGCTAAGATGCATTGCTTTGTATGGCATATTTTCTCTGGTACATCCAACATTTTATTCTTTATATGTAAAACAATTTCAAAACTATAGAAAGATCATATCAGCTTTTTATGTCTGTAATGTGCATTTAATATATTTTTTTCTTTCAACACATTTGCTATTACATTCTGTCCTTGCTGCCCTTAAAGAGCCCTAAGTATCCAAAGTTCATATATATATATATATATATATATATATATATATCCTCTGAAAAGTATTTTGAGGCATAAGACATATATAGGTGATTATTTTGGTGCAAAACCAGTACACACCAGTATGAACTGAAATAAAAGCACAGTCTAGCCTCTTATTCCTGTAGGAGTCAAGGACACCATCTGTTTAAGTCTCTTTGATACAAGAGATGTCAGCTTAGACTGCTGCTCACTGTATTATTCACAAACATCTGCCCTACCAGATAAAGAGAGATTCTTCCTACCTGCATAACACATAAATAATCATAATTCTACAACAAGGAGCATTGATGAAGGAACACTCCAAACCCACTGGCTCTTCATGCACTGGTTATTTTCCGGTGTTAATGCAGATTTGACTCCTTTATTAATCCTTTTATTATTATAACTGTAGTACATGTAATTTTACCTCCTGTCAAAACAGCCTCTTTTCACGACTTTGATATAGAAAAGGTATATCTGTGCAAAAATTCTGCGATGCTAAGCATACAAATTGGAAACCAGTTTACTTCTAATTCTATAATATTTCCCCTCTTAAAATTTGACAAACCTGGAGCGACCAGGAATCAGAAGGAAATCAGTACATTAAAAATGTTGTAATCTGTACGTATAAAACAGCACAAGACTGTCTCAGAATCAAACATGTTCAAAGACAAAAGAAATTCACCTTAATCCACTCAATTCCTTGTAATGTCAGTAGCATAGTAAAAGACAATAATTTATGTCTTACCTTTCAAACGAAATAGGAAAAATATGGGCGCTTGCCTGTATTCCGCTCAGCTTATAAATTTGCTTGTCAAAGATTTCAAGCTAACCATAAAATGGATGGCCTCTTTTCTTTTCTCACCCCAGTTCTGCGAACCAATATTTGCATACAAAACAAACCACACTTTCCTCCCTCAAAGGAATTTCCTGATCATTTCCTTCCTTAGTACTGGTTTGAAGAAGAAATGTGGAAGATAGAACCAAGAAAAATGCCTTCGAACCCATTAAAATCAAAAGCAAGTCACAGCTTTTGCCAGCTGCTTCTTGGTGTGCATTTTAAAGACATCCAAGCAATCATTGAAAAAGACGGTCTTAGATATAAATACTTTAGAAGATTATAATCTGTGTAAATTCCATAATATCTGAACTGTCATAATATTTGGGACACAAAGTTACGTTATCCCATGTATCCGTTTTGAATCAAATTATTTACAGTTTGTACAGCCCTTAAACTTCATTGTGCTCACTGAGATCTGGTTTATCACTGCTCAAATTAGTTATTCATATGCAATGAGTACATATGATACAGCACTACTAATGTAAGTGAAGCTGAAGTTTTAAAAACCTTTCAAATAGACCTGGTTTGGCGAACCAGGACAGGAAAGCCATTTCTTGTTTTCTTGGTGTTGGCTCCTATCAAAGTATTCATAGAAAGCTGAAAGCATAAGTTAGATTCAACACATTTGAAAAAATGCAACCTTGTTTTAAGGAGTATGGTGACATTAATATTCAAGTTAATGTTCCAACAAAACTGTTCTGTGTGGTTTTGCATTACAATACAGAGGATGTGTGCATTAATGTACATTTTTCGTACTTTAATGCAAATGAGTCACATTCAACACACAAGTATTGATAATTGTTCACTTTATTAAAATTTTTTTTGCAGCTGATACAAGGGGGGAAAAAATTTTAAACTTGCAGCCTAAATGTCCCATTATTTACAAGGGCAAATGCACATTTTATGCCTTTTCAAAATATTAATGTTTTACCATTGGCATTAGCATTCCTGTAGTTATATCACCACATGACAACACGGCATTTCATAAATTTAGTGAGAGGAAGAGAGAGAGTCAACCGGATGTAAAGAAATGTGGAAGATAGAACCAAGAAAAATGCCTTCGAACCCATTAAAATCAAAGCAAGTCACAGCTTTTGCCAGCTGCTTCTTGGTGTGCATTTTAAAGACATCCAAGCAATCATTGAAAAAGACGGTCTTAGATATAAATACTTTAGAAGATTATAATCTGTGTAAATTCCATAACAATATCTGAACGGTCATAATATTTGGGACACAAAGTTACGTTATCCCATGTATCCGTTTTGAATCAAATTATTTACAGTTTGTACAGCCCTTAAACTTCATTGTGCTCACTGAGATCTGGTTTATCACTGCTCAAATTAGTTATTCATATGCAATGAGTACATATGATACAGCACTACTAATGTAAGTGAAGCTGAAGTTTTAAAAACCTTTCAAATCTAACTAAAATCACTCCTCTTGCATTTAAATGTGTCCAGACAATTTTAGAAAGGACAACATAGTTCCAAAACTTTCTAAGGTACAAAAATAGAACAAGTTATCAGATGACAGATTTTTATATTAACTACACACATTGTTGGATTGGATTTGAATTTCCTATCTACAAAACAAAATTAAAATTACATAACAGATTTCTCTTATTTACAGTTAAATTGTGATTCAGAGAAAAAAAATTATATATATATATATCAATGCCTGTAAAGAACATATGTGGGAATTGAAGAAACAGTCAATATGGCAATGCACTATTGTTTAAATGAAAGACAGATTTACATTTACAAAGTGTGTGTATGAATGTACTGTGTATAGATACTAGCGTGAAAACTATTTCTTTGGTGACACCGCTATTTCGAGTTGTGGAAACCGAAAACTGCCTTTTGACCCACTATCACTGCTGGACGATGATGACATTCTGGACTTCTTTGAAGACTGAGCAACTCCACCAGCACCCTCAATCCTAACCTCACTTTCATCTGTCACTTCATATGAACCTTTACTTTTTGAGCTAAAACCTCCAATTGTAGCAAACTTCAACTTTCCTTTTTTGCCTTTGGCCTTTTCTCCAACATCAACTGAAATGTTGCCACCCTCTGCCTGTAAGTGGCCTTCAGCAGAAACAGGGGAAGCTAAACCTCCCTCATCACTTACAGAGGATGAGTGATGTGTTTTTTTGAAGAGGTCAAGGGAGGCAGATTTACTCTTTGGTGAAACTTTAAACCCAGAGCTTCCCTCTACTGTCAACTTGCCACTTGTCAATTCCCCGGAACTAAGGCTCAACTCCTTAGACACCTTTGCACCACCTTTACTTGTAACATCAACACCTTCTCCCTCAACAATAAGATCAGCTGCACTGCCACCTTTAGATTTAGATTTGACAAATAATTTTGGCATTTTGACTTTCACTTTTCCACCACTGCTTTTCATATCAGTGTTCTCAATTTCCAGACTTTGGGAAGTAACTTTAGAACCAGCAGCCAATTCACCTGAACCTACATCTACTCTCATCTCGCCTCCATCTACTTTAGGCAATGCAACACCAAACTTTGGTACTTTGATTTTAGGAAAGGTTACATTACCTTCTTGGTACTCCATCACACCAGATAATGATGCATCTGGCTTCATGTCTAACCCACTTGCAGTCTCTCCCTTTTGTCCCCTTACATTAAAGCCTGGTATTTCAATGATCCCTTTTACTCCTTTTTGTTCAGTGAGATTTAAATCAGCATCTAAAGCACCACCATGGACATTTACAGTAGGCACTGTCAACTTAACATCCTGTATTTTTCCTCCTATGTCAATTTTAGCCTTGCCTTTTCCATTAATGCCTGATCCTGCTACACTGACATCTGAGGACTGAAAGGTCTTTTCTGGAACCTCTAAAGTTGCATCTCTAACAACTAGTTCAGGAGTTTTTATTTCAGAGCCAGAGATGCCGACTTTTGGTATTTTGATTTTTCCTCCTTTTGTTTTGAAATCAGGACTATCCAAACTAGCATCTGGTGTCTGAATATCAGTTTTAAGGCTTGCAGAAGGCAAATCAGCAGATGATTTTATAGTTCCAGAGGCAGATGGACTACCTTTAGCTTTTGAAGATTTGATGTCAAATTCCACATCAGGAAAACGTAACTTTCCAAAAAGAGGTTTCTTTACTTTGGTTGACTTCATCTGTAGGTCAGGTTCATTTGTCTTCAACTTGACAGTTTCAGTCTTCATATCACCATCAAATGTTTTAGACTTCCCCTTCCCTTTGGCCAATTTGAATGTACCTTTCTTTCCTTTCACATCTATGTTCATATCAGGTCCTTCTACACTACCACCAGCATCAAGAATATCTGCATCTAATTTTGGGCTCTTAACTCCAAGCGAAAATTTTGATTTTTTCATTTTTGGCACCTTGATATTTGCATCTGGTCCACTGATATTGACATCAGGGCTTTTGACATCAATACTCGCCCCTATATCTTTTTCAGGTATTGAAAGACTGCCACCTGAAGGCTTTATTCCAAAGTTGGGACCTTTGAATTTTGGGAACTTAACATGTTTTAAACCACCCTCGGGTCCTTCAATGTCAAGATCAGGAGCTTTAATATCAATTTCTGGTCCTTTAATGTCAACATCTGCTTTGGGGAGATTTACGTCAACATCTGGGCCCTCCACTTTAGGACCTTTGAGACCAAATGATGGCATTTTGATTTTAGGCATCTTGATGCCACCTTCTGGGCCCTCGATATCAACATCAGGACCTTCAATGTGCACTTTTGGAGCTTTTATGTCCCCTGAAATCTTTGGTACAGAAATGTCCATATCACCCTTGACTTTTGGACTTTTCAAGTTAACATCTGGCATAGAGATCTTTGGACCTGATATGGAAGGCATTTTGAACTTAGGACCTTTGATTTTCCCCTCAGGTCCTTCAATGTCAAGATCAGGACTTTCAATGTCCCCTTTTGGAGCTTTTATTTCCCCTGAAATCTTTGGTACAGAAACATCCATATCACCCTTGACTTTGGGGCCTTTAAGATTTAAGTCGACATCTGGCATAGAGATCTTTGGACCTGATATTGAAGGCATTTTGAACTTGGGACCTTTGATTTTCCCCTCAGGTCCTTCTATGTCAAGATCAGGAGTTTTGATGTCAATTTCAGGTCCTTTAATGTCAAGATCTGCTTTGGGGAGATTGATGTCAACATCTGGACCCTCCACTTTAGGACCTCTTAGTCCGAATGATGGCATTTTGATTTTAGGCATCTTGAAGCCACCTTCTGGGCCCTCAATATCAACATCTGGACTTTCAATGTCCACTTTTGGGGCCTTTATGTCACCTGAAATCTTTGGTACTGAAACATCCATATCACCTTTGACTTTGGGGCCTTTTAAGTTGACATCTGGCATAGAGATTTTTGGACCTGATATGGAAGGCATTTTAAACTTGGGACCTTTTATTTTCCCCTCAGGTCCCTCGATGTCAAGATCAGGAGCTTTAACGTCAATTTCAGGTCCTTTAATGTCAACATCTGCTTTGGGGAGATTGATGTCAACATCTGGGCCCTCCACTTTAGGACCTTTGAGTCCAAATGATGGCATTTTGATTTTAGGCATTTTGAAGCCACCTTCCGGGCCCTCTATATCAACATTAGGACCTTCAATTTCCACTTTTGGAGCTTTTATGTCCCCCGAAATCTTTGGAACAGAAACATCCATATCACCTTTGACCTTGGGGCCTTTTAAGTTGACATCTGGCATAGAGATCTTTGGACCTGATAAGGAAGGCATTTTGAACTTGGGACCTTTGATTTTCCCCTCAGGTCCCTCGATGTCAAGATCAGGAGTTTTGATGTCAATTTCAGGTCCTTTAATGTCAACATCTGCTTTGGGGAGATTGATGTCAACATCTGGGCCCTCCACTTTAGGACCTCTGAGTCCAAATGATGGCATTTTGATTTTAGGCATCTTGAAGCCACCTTCTGGGCCGTCGAAATCAACATCAGGACCTTCAATGGCCACTTTTGGAGCTTTTATGTCCCCTGAAATCTTTGGTACAGAAACATCCATATCACCCTTGACTTTTGGACTTTTCAAGTTGAAGTCTACATCAGGCATAGAGATTTTTGGACCCGATATGGAAGGCATTTTAAACTTGGGACCTTTGATTTTCCCCTCCCAAAGGATGGCATTTTGATTTTAGGTATCTTGAAGCCACCTTCCAGGCACTCTATATCGACATCAGGACCTTCAATGTCAACTTTTGGTGCCTTTATGTCACCTGAAATCTTTGGTACAGAAACATCTATATCGCCCTTGACTTTAGGGCCTTTAACGTTTAAGTTGACATCTGGCATAGAGATCTTTGGACTTGATATGGAAGGCATTTTGAACTTGGGACCTTTGATTTTCCCCTCAGGTCCCTCGATGTCAAGATCAGGAGTTCTAACGTCAATTTCAGGTCCTTTAATGTCAACATCTGCTTTGGGGAGATTGATGTCAACATCTGGGCCCTCCACTTTAGGACCTCTGAGTCCAAATGATGGCATTTTGATTTTAGGCATCTTGAAGCCACCTTCTGGGCCGTCGAAATCAACATCAGGACCTTCAATGGCCACTTTTGGAGCTTTTATGTCCCCTGAAATCTTTGGTACAGAAACATCCATATCACCCTTGACTTTTGGACTTTTCAAGTTGAAGTCTACATCAGGCATAGAGATTTTTGGACCCGATATGGAAGGCATTTTAAACTTGGGACCTTTGATTTTCCCCTCAGGTCCTTCAATGTCAAGATCAGGAGTTTTGATGTCAATTTCTGGTCCTTTAATGTCAACATCTGCTTTGGGGAGATTGATGTCAACATCTGGGCCCTCCACTTTAGGACCTCTGAGTCCAAATGATGGCATTTTGATTTTAGGCATCTTGAAGCCACCTTCTGGGCCCTCGATATCAACATCAGGACCTTCAATGTGCACTTTTGGAGCTTTTATGTCCCCTGAAATCTTTGGTACAGAAATGTCCATATCACCCTTGACTTTTGGACTTTTCAAGTTCCCTCAGGTCCCTCGATGTCAAGATCAGGAGTTCTGATGTCAATTTCAGGTCCTTTAATGTCAAAATCTGCTTTGGGGAGATTGATGTCAACATCTGGACCCTCCACTTTAGGACCTTTGAGCCCAAATGATGGCATTTTTATTTTAGGCATTTTGATGCCACCTTCTGGGCCCTCTATATCAACATCAGGACCTTCAATGTCAACTTTTGGTGCCTTTATGTCACCTGCAATCTTGGGTCCAGAAACATCAATATCACCCTTGACTTTTGGACTTTTCAAGTTGAAGTCTACATCTGGCATAGAAATCTTTGGACCAGATATAGAAGGCATTTTGAATTTGGTGCCCTTGATTTGTCCCTCAGGTCCTTCAACATCAAGATCAGGAGTGTTGATGTCAATATCAGATGATTTTAAACCAATGTCACCACTAGGTACGCTGACATCAATTTCTCCTTTGGGTGACTTAAAACCGAACTTTGGCATTTTAAATTTTGGCATCTTGAATCCTCCCTCTGGACTTTTAACTTCTACTCTTGGAGAATCAACTTCCACTTTTGGCATATTTACATCACCTTCCAAACTGACACCAGCTTGACCTTTCACTTTAGATCCTTTCGGAAGTTTGACATCAACATCAGGTGCTTCAATCTTTGGCCCTTTAAATCCAAACTTGGGCATTTTAAATTTAGGCTTCTTGACATTTGTTTCTGGAAAATTGACCTCAACATTTGGACCTTCAGGACCAGATACTGATGGCATCTTGACTTTTGGGCCTTTGATTTTTCCTTCTGGTAATTTTATATCAAGTTCGGGCCCCTTGATACCCAAATCTGGTGCTTTGATGTCTCCTTCAACTTTTGGAATTGAAACATCGACATCACCTTTCAGTTTTGGACCTTTTAAATTGAAATCCACATCAGGCATTGAAATATTTGGACCAGAGATGGTGGGCATCTTGAATTTGGATCCCTTGATTTTTCCCTCTGGTCCTTCAATATCAAGTTCTGGACCCTTAATGTTCACATCTGGTGCTTTAATTTCTCCTTCCAGTTTTGGAACGGACACGTCAACATCACCTTTCAGTTTTGGACGTTTCAGGTTGAGGTCAAAGTCTGGCATAGAAATCTTTGGACCAGAGATTGATGGCATCTTGAATTTGGGGCCCTTGATTTTTCCCTCAGGTCCTTCAATGTCAAACTCTGGAGCTTTGATGTCCACATCTGGTGCCTTAATGTCAATATCGGCTTTAGAGATTTTCACATCAACATCTGGACCCTCTAGTTTTGGACCCTTCATTCCGAATGATGGCATTTTTATCTTTGGCATCTTAAAACCACCCTCAGGTCCTTCAATTTCTGGGCCTTCAATTTCCACTTTTGGTGCTTTAATATCTCCTTCCACTTTTGGAACAGACACGTCAACATCACCTTTCAGTTTTGGACCTTTCAGATTGAAGTCAACGTCTGGCATAGAAATCTTTGGACCAGAGATTGATGGCATCTTGAATTTGGGGCCCTTGATTTTTCCCTCAGGTCCTTCAATGTCAAACTCTGGAGATTTGATGTCCACATCTGGTGCCTTAATGTCAATATCGACTTTAGGGATTTTCAAATCAACATCTGGACCCTCCAGTTTTGGACCCTTCATTCCGAAAGACGGCATTTTGATCTTTGGCATCTTAAAACCACCCTCAGGTCCTTCAATTTCTGGGCCTTCAATTTCCACTTTTGGTGCTTTAATATCTCCTTCCACTTTTGGAACGGACACGTCAACATCACCTTTCAGTTTTGGACCTTTCAGATTGAAGTCAACGTCTGGCATAGAAATCTTTGGACCAGAGATTGATGGCATCTTGAACTTGGGGCCCTTGATTTTTCCCTCAGGTCCTTCAATGTCAAACTCTGGAGCTTTGATGTCCACATCTGGTGTCTTAATGTCAATATCGGCTTTAGGGATTTTCACATCAACATCTTGACCCTTCATTCCGAATGATGGCATCTTAAATTTTGGGCCCTTGATTTTTCCCTCAGGTCCTTCAATGTCAAACTCTGGAGCTTTGATGTCCACATCTGGTGCCTTAATGTCAATATCGGCTTTAGGGATTTTCACATCAACATCTGGACCCTCCAGTTTTGGACCCTTCATTCCGAATGATGGCATCTTAAATTTTGGGCCCTTGATTTTTCCCTCAGGTCCTTCAATTTCTGGGCCTTCAATTTCCACTTTTGGTGCTTTAATATCTCCTTCCACTTTTGGAACAGACACGTCAACATCACCTTTCAGTTTTGGACCTTTCAGATTGAAGTCAACGTCTGGCATAGAAATCTTTGGACCAGAAATTGATGGCATCTTGAACTTGGGGCCCTTGATTTTTCCCTCAGATCCTTCAATGTCAAACTCTGGAGCTTTGATGTCCACATCTGGTGCCTTAATGTCAATATCGGCTTTAGGGATTTTCACATCAACATCTGGACCCTCCAGTTTTGGACCCTTCATTCCGAAAGACGGCATTTTGATCTTTGGCATCTTAAAACCACCCTCAGGTCCTTCAATTTCTGGGCCTTCAATTTCCACTTTTGGTGCTTTAATATCTCCTTCCACTTTTGGAACAGACACGTCAACATCACCTTTCAGTTTTGGACCTTTCAGATTGAAGTCAACGTCTGGCATAGAAATCTTTGGACCAGAGATTGATGGCATCTTGAATTTGGGGCCCTTGATTTTTCCCTCAGGTCCTTCAATGTCAAACTCTGGAGCTTTGATGTCCACATCTGGTGCCTTTATCTCGATATCGGCTTTGGGGATTTTTACATCAATATCTTGACTCTCCAGTTTTGGACCTTTCAGTCCGAATGATGGCATTTTGATTTTTGGGACCTTAAACCCACCCTCAGGTCCTTCCATTTCTGGGCCTTTAATTTCCACTTTTGGTGCTTTAATATCTCCTTCCAGTTTTGGAACGGACAAGTCAATGTCACCTTTCAGTTTTGGACCTTTCAGGTTTAAGTCAATGTCTGGCATAGAAACCTTTGGACCGGAGACTGATGGCATTGTGAATTTGGGGCCCTTGATTTTTCCCTCAGGTCCTGCAATGTCAACCTCTGCAGCTTTGATGTCCACACCTCGTTCCTTTACCTCGACATCGGCTTTGGGGATTTTCACATCAATATCTGGGCCCTCCACTTTTGGACCTTTCAGTCCGAATGATGGCATTTTGATTTTTGGCATCCTAAAACCACCCTCACGTCCTTCCATTTCTCGGCCTTCAATTTCAACTTTTGGTGCTTTAATATCTCCTTCCACTTTTGGAACGGACACGTCAATGTCACCTTTCAGTTTTGGACCTTTCAGATTGAAGTCAACGTTTGGCATAGAAATCTTTGGACCAGAGATTGATGGCATCTTGAATTTGGGGCCCTTGATCTTTCCCTCAGGTCCTTCAATGTCAACCTCTGGAGCTTTGATGTCCAGATCTGGTGCCTTAACTTCAATATCGGCTTTAGGAATTTTCACATCAACATCTGTACCCTCCACTTTTGAACCTTTCAGTCCGAATGATGGCATTTTGATCTTTGGCATCTTGAAACCACCCTCAGGTTCCTCAAGGTCAGGGCCTTCAATTTCAACTTTTGGTGCTTTAATGTCTCCTTCCATTTTTGGAACAGACACATCGACATCACCTTTTAGTTTTGGGCCTTTCAGATTTAAGTCACCTTTCAATGTTGACCCTTTTACATTTAAATTCACATCAGACACCGCAATATTAGGACCGGAGACTGGTGGTATCTTGATTTCAGAATCTTTGACTTTTACTTCAGATCTCTCAACATTAAGCTCTGGAGTCTTGATATCCACATCTGATGCTTTAATCTCCATTTTGGCTTTCACAAGATTTACATCAACATCAGGACTCCTTACTTCTGAAGTTTTTATTCCTAATGAGGACATTTTGACCTTTGGAACCGTAAAGCCACTTTTCACATCCTCGAGATCTGGCCTTTTAATTTCAATTTTTGAAGTTGTAACATTCCCTTCAACATTCGGAACAGACACGTTAACATCTCCTTTCACTTTTTGTCCTTTGAGGTTTAAATCCACATCTGGCATAGAAATTTGACCAGTGACTGATGGTGCATCAAATTTAACATCTTTGACAGTACGCTCATGTCCTTTAAAGTGAAGCTCTGGACCCCTGATGTCCATATCTGGTGGTGTGATTTTTACATCAGCTTTGGGTAGACTTACTACTGTATCAGGTTCCTGAACCCGAGCTGACATTTCCTGATTCCCAGTTATGCTGAAACCTCTCTGACTAACATCTTTAAGATTTTGATTGTTAAAATTCTCTTCTACATTTTGACCTTCCTTGGGACTTTGCACATCTATGGTAAATTTAGACAATTTGGTTTTATCAGCAGACCCATCCTTATGCACTTCAGACAAAGATTCCCTGCCAATACTGCCCCCTGTATCTCCACTAATGGAAAAACCTGAAACACGAGTGTTCAGAACAGGGCCCTTTACTGTAGCAACCTCAGTTCCTCCCGTCATACCTGAAGCTTTAAAACCAGCTTCCAATGGAAAAGAAATATTTCTCACGTCTTTGTCTAACCCCATGGTTACTTTGCCAGAGAGATCACTACTGCCTGCAGAAGCTTCAGTCCTTCCAAAATGTTCTATCACCATCTGTCCTTTACGACCTGACAGTCCAGTGTCTGACACATTAATTGTAATCTCTTTCCCACTACCATCTAATTCACTTGTTGCTTTTAAAGATCCTGTGCTAGAGTGCTTCACAGTGGAGCCAGTGACATGGGGCCCGCTAAGAGTTATGTCCCCTATTTTTATACCTCCATGTGCACCACTAACAAGGCTACTATGTGGTAATCTGATTTGAGTAGAATCCCCCTCTGACTGCTCATGCTGCAAGACCTGAATTTTGTACTCAGGGCTTGAGTGATCAATCTGCTGACTAGTCCCCCCAGGCACATCCACAGTGTAGGTAGTTATTCGACGAGTGATTGTAGTAATGGTGCAACCATCACTGCTTGTGCTGCTGTGACGTTCTGTGCGCACATCAACACCCTCAGCAAGATCCTCTGACTTTAGTCTAGGTTTAATCTTCTTAGTGTAGATTCTCTAGCGTATCAGTGCCCATCCACTGTGGGAAAAGCACTTCCCTTGTGTCCTGCTCGTCAGCCATCTTATAAATAAATAAAATGAGAAAATTACACAATACACAATGAAACACAGTAAAACATAGTAACTATTACACAATACCAAATATATATGTTGACTATTATTCAGTTTCAAGTTGAATGAGTTAAAATAAGCTTTTTTTCTGGAGAGAAATTACCTTATGAACAGTAAAAAAGCTAAAACACATCTAACTATTCATTATATATATTCATTCTGTGTACCTCTAAATGTGTTACTTCTTCACCTGTCCCCTAGTGTGGACCGTGTCAGCCCTTGTTCTTTCCTTAACACAAAAAAAGAAAAAGAAAGTTAGTGTCTTGCATTCAAATTAACCTTTTACAGATAGGTTTAACAGTATGTTCATACATTTAAAAAAATAATAATAATAAAAAAACAATGCTGTTTTTTTGTTTGTTTTTTTAACAACAGTAAATATCAAACAGACCACCAGATGGCAATATAGTCTCCAGCAAAGTGAAAGTAAACAAGCATGATTTCTGTTTGGGAACTTAGCAGTGGTTTAACTACATCTTTCTAGCAAAAACAGAGTTATCGTTATACCATGATTTTCTTCAGCATCAAAACAAAGCTTTAGAACAAGAGCAATAACTTGTCACTAAATGCATTAAGCTCAGTTTAATACACAGATTAAACATCTAAAATATCTAAAAATCTGATGTCCATGAAATGAAAATCAAACTGTAGCCTGTAGATCTGGGAGTTACTGTATTTGCTTGATGAACATTGCTTCAGAGTTTTTTAGCTGACGTGGGCCTGCCATTGCAGCTTTCAACACAGAAAGTTCTGTGTTTCAGAGATATCACCCCCTCACAATCATCCACCCTGCAATTACACAGGACCTCTTGGATATGAAAAAAACTACATTCATATTTCACTACAGATTAGCAAATGAGGCACTAGTTTATTTTAATTATGAAAACATTTGCCAGTGACAAAGAAAAAAAAAATCAATGTCTTGTTATACCAAAAGCGAAGCAGAACTCAAGTCAAGTGCTGTGTAGTCAATTTGTCCATGTCCCACTTTGTTGCCACATTTTAATTATGAAAACATTTGCCAGTGACAAAGAAAAAAAAAAATCAATGTCTTGTTATACCAAAAGCGAAGCAGAACTCAAGTCAAGTGCTGTGTAGTCAATTTGTCCATGTCCCACTTTGTTGCCAAGTAAGATACGAGTAGTAGTATCATTATGTTGACATGGACAACAGTCAAAAATATAGCTCAACGGTCATTACACAAAAATATCTGTTTGCTCAATAACATGATTGATCTGTCAGAATAAAGTATTCCAGAATGCCATACAGAGTGTAAGAAATGGAAATGGAAAAAGCTTCGTCTCATGTAATCATGAATTGGTGGGATGTAAGAGTTATTCAAGCAACCCAAATGCTCCCTTGATTCAAAATAGTAAGTATACTCACTTCTGAAATAAGCCTGACCCTGACCTTAGTGGATTACTGAAGGAATGTACACACTCAAAATAAAATGTGAAAACAATGCTGCAATATTAAAGGCTTAGGTGCAACTCAGTCATTCATGAAGCTAATGATAAATAAAATTAATTCTAAATTTTTTCTATAAAAAAAATATGTAAATTGAAAATTTATTTCAGCCGCAATCAAGGAATTGCAAAGATGTAAATAAATTGCTAAAGTTACTTTTAGTCTGTCTATTAGTTTTGAGTTCATCTATATGCAAGTATTTAAACACTAACAAAGTTGAACAGATGCATGTTCAACATATGCATTTAAGATCGAGATATATGCATTTAAATTATACAGTCTCTGTCTTCTGGAAATTGGTTAATCGGAAAATTGATTATACATAAATGACTAGAGAAATTCTGTGTATTTTATAGAATGAGAACATTTTCTCCCCTCAAAATTATAAATATCACTTGCCTTGCCTCCCACTAAATATGCTTCCCATTGGGGTGAAAGAAGCCTAGACTTGTGTCCATGTCGACCATTATACTCCAGAGACAGGATAGTACAGAGCAGATCATTTGAGAGAGTCAATCGTGCTTCCCTCGACAGTGCGGCACAGACTACAAAACATCTGCATTCCGTTTGAATTGTATACAAAATATTATATTTATACTAAAGCACTATAAGAGGCTGTTAGATATGAAAAGAATAGACGGCTTTAACATTATAAACAACACTAAGGAGAAAACAAGACGACACTACAACAAGGCCTACACATCAACATTACTATAATTGAACACATTTTACCGTTGCTGTAACTGGAATTCTGACAGAAACGTTAGTTTCATATTAAATCTGCTTTGATTATGTGACTGTTGATTAGTCAACATCACATGCAACAGAATAATGCACAATATTTTACATTTAATAGACATTAAGTCTTTGAATGTAATTTCAGTAAAACCTCTCAAAGTCCTCAGGGGTAGAAATGCTACACATGGGACATGAAAGCTGTGAAACCCAAGCCTGAAAAAGTGCCTTATTATTGTTGGCTAAAGCTGATATTTACAAAAGGAGAAGGGGAAAACCTACATTGCTGTGTACTTAAGAACTCCCTAGCAAGCAGTGCAAAAGCTTATTATTTCTCTCCCAGCCTGGTCTATGCCTCTTAACATGATGCCACTCCCTCTATCAACATTCCTGTCCCACTATACATATATGTTCTACTTCCTTTACCCTTTTTTAAACCTATATAGTCCACGGTACCATTTGCACAGCGGCTGTTGTCACAAATCTGACAGATTCCTCACAGTGCGCTTTTGGAGGAGCAAACTGAGTGGGAGGGTAAGAAAAAAAGAAATATAAAAAAAAAGGATAAAGGCAGATGTGTACATCCATGACTGAAACATGGAACAATAATGGACCAAAGAGGCAGCAGAGGCACATTACATTGCCCAACACATTAATTGTGTGCCCAAGCAGGCACATCTTACTTTCTCTTAACCACAGAAACTGAGCTCAAAACAACTCTGACACCAAGTATAGCACAGCTTATCTTTCTTTGTATAAGTGAGATATCCTTTAGCTTTCACAAGAGTATAAACCACGTCACTACCAGAGCATTACTGGAGGGAATTTGCTTAAAGCAGATGGCTCTTACCCAAAATCATATGATCTGCTATGATCCATGTAAGCAGACACTTCATAATACCTCCAGTGTTTGTACAATCATAAGACTTCAACAATGAAATGCAACACATCTTTGTGAACTATTGAGTTGTAGCCGGGACCTTTTAAGCAGACCAATCTTTGAGGTTTAGCAACAAAGAGCGTCGTACTGGAGAGTGTAAGATTGAAACAAAACTAGAAAAAAGGAAACCCCCAGATTTTAATTACCGTTGTAAAAAAGGACCAAGAGGACCTGAAAAGCGGAGGGAACCCATTATAAACCTTAACTGTTTGGCGTATGAATCATAATTTTGTAACATAATATACACCCAGCAATTCTTGCTGAAAGACAAGTGGGCGTTACTGCTTATGCTTTCATTCAATCCATTGTCAAAGCAACAAATTGGCACAAGGTTCTGCTTAGTCTTATAGCTGATGTTTTATGCATGTCATAAACTAATAGATAAGGGAACCTACTGAATTGCCAAGGCTAATGCTCAAACTCTCTCCCGTCTTCTTTTATATTCTGAAAGAAAGCAAGAAAGGAGAGGGAATTCAGATGTAATACAAGTAAATATATAAGTAAATATTTCAATGCATCAAATAGTCAGACGCCAAAAACAATCCAAAACCATCAATTACAAAATGTACATTCAACTCAAGTATCACACTTTTATCTTTTAAAGCAAAAAGCTTAATAATAATAGTTTTGCTTGCATGGTTTCGAGACCTTAAGCTAGTGGATCAGACTGACTTTATTTCCTTTTTCCTTTAAAAATGCAGCCCCACCCTAGTTGGCTTTATACTTTGGTTTGCCCTAAGAGGGCGACAGTGACTGAAACGGTTACAATACGAGCGCTCAAAACGGGGAGTTTTCCTTTGCACGAACCAAAGACAGAAGCGTACACGTGCCTGCACAAGATTAAACATTTCCTCTGGATGAATAATTGTCTGACTAGTCTTGACTACTGAAAGTCACAATTGCGTTTGTGTTTAAATATTAAGTTTGATAACTAATTATTGTTAAATACAATTAACAGCATCACTCCCTCAAAATAAACTCAGCCTCACATGCCTGCAAATCCACCCTGTGCTCTAAACACTGGGAATCTTTTTGGGCAACTACAGACAGAGTGAAATTGCTTGTCACTGTCAGATATTACTGTCTTTAAAAATGTTTTAGTTGCCTTACACTTAAAACGCATATGAGTGAGAATCAAACTCTTACACTCATCTAGGCATTTATTTGCTACGTTTGATGTTAAGAAATAATTCAAGATTACTGTAAACTAAAAATGTGAGATGATTCAAGCCATTCATAGTAACCATGCCAATGGCATGAAACTGTCACTTGCCACAGGCAAAATACAGTTCAAGTAAGTTTCTCACAGGGAAGCAAACATCATGTGCAAATCCTCATTTGATCGCCTAAAAGCTCCTCAAGTCACATGGTATGGCCGAAGACACTGGAGGCTAAACTACGCAGTCATTTCACTCATTCAATTTCACACAAACCAAATTATCAAACTTCATTATCTACCCTTATCTTACACAAAACAAGAAAAGACAATCAGTCCATTTTTGTTTCATTTAATAAAAAGGTTTAGACGGCCAGCTCACGTGGGAAACAACTCCTCACTGTCAAGCAGTATTTGCTCCACTCAGTATTTGCTTTAATAATGTACTTCTCCAGTTACTCAAAAATGATAAGTGTCAATTGTTCAAAGTCATAAGCTGCGAGGCTTTTGTCAAGACTAAGTCAAGTGACTTCGTACCAAACACCTAATATAATACTCCCGCAATTCCGGCATCATGAAGAAAAACTTTAAAGAGCAAGTGCCATTAGCGCTCATGCACATTCTTTAAATCTGTGAAGTGTTGAATTGTCCTTCACACTCCATGGCCTTTGAAGCTGTCCCGTGGCTTCTCGTCCAATTTAGCGTTTGATCATTTCTGCATGGAGGAGGCGGAGGACAAAGAGATATCTGTTTTAAGCCTTTCAGTCCAGGCTAGAGAAATGTTGGGAATTTGTTTTGTTTCATAAACGTGTCTTTCAGGCCTTTAAAGCAACGATGCATGACAAGACAAGATACATGTGCGTTTCTGTGAACGCTGTGACAAAGAGCAATGAAATGTGGTTTCAGTGATACTAATATAATTCTAAAAAATAATAATAATAAAACCTTACGACTTGGGTCAGATCACAGATGTGGTTACTTGAAATTGAGAGGTTTTCCCTACAGCAGAAAAGCATGAAAAGACTTAATGTAACACTAGCACTGCAAACAAACGCTGGAATCAGCACAGACAGGTACATGCTTGCGGGGACCTGCCCTGATATCAGTTGTCTCCAGTACTATTCCACTGTTACTGACTCTGCTAGAAAACAACTGTTAACAGCAAAAGTAATAATTTAAAGCCGCCCCAAGAAAACTGTATATTTACCCTAACTTACAATCTTATAAACTTTGAATAAAGTACCTCTCTGTCCCATTCAAAAAGGATGGGCAAACCTTTGCTCTAAATATTTACAAAAGCATTCATATGGGGAGTTACAATGCATCTTGAAAATTACCAGCTATTTTAAAGTAAACAGCTCGTCACAGGTTTGTGGGGTCGCATAAGTAGAAACTAAAACACTTTAAACATTTTTTTTTTCGTGCTACTTCCAACGTCTTATTTGGAAACCATTGCTAGAACCTCTCACTACCCTGTTGTAACGGATGGTTATTTCTGAGCTGTGACTAAAATAGTCATGGGCTCGCTGTGATAAAGGCCAGTCAGGACAAGGCTGTCACACTGTTTGCAAAGAACAACATTTGGCAGAGCAGCTGTGTACACTCAAACGGGTGACATCTATGAGCCCTGTACGTAGTTGTATCAAGTTTGCAGTCAACCTCACTAAAGGTGGAGTCAGCCGAACAAAACTGCATGTTACAAACACGATCAACGATAATTACTAACAAATTATTGCGCATGTCAAATTTCAGAAAGAATTAAAGAATGCCAACTGGCTTTAAAAAAAAGTTCAGTTTCACAGAATAAATACACTTATATATATATAGTTCGTATTGTTGTGCATGAGAAAGACTGGTACTAGAACAAAATGCCTGGCTTTAAAAAAAAGTTCAGTTTCACAGAATAAATACACTTATATATATAGTTCGTATTGTTGTGCATGAGAAAGACTGGTACTAGAACAAAATGCGACCATAATCACAGGTCTAAATGTGTCAGACAACACCGCAACGCTTCCATCTGGCAGAGGTTGTTTGGAAACAACTGTGCAACTCTAAAAGGAGCAGAGTTTATGGCACAACGCAGACGGCAAACGTCGCAAATCCAAAGTAGGGGACACACCCTTTGTACAATGAGAAACTACACACACACCATCTCTCAACCCGCACATAGCGCACAGTGAGCTGCGAGCCCCACCCAGGCCTCCAGTCACACGCATTCCTTGATAGAGCCGTCAAGGCCAACTGGAAGAGAGCCCAGCCTCTCCTGCAGTGACTAACTCCAAAGCAATGTCCTACTCTCTACCCAACCACTCGAGTCACCCAGTGGGTCTGAGCTGGGTACAAAAACAGGGGATTCTTTCATGGTTTCCACTTACTAACAGCCAATGGAGCAGGGTTATTTTTATTTTTTAAAGCAAGCAGATGTCTGCATTTTGTAAAGACTAATAGAAACCCCTCATGACACTGATTAATGCACAGCAAAAGAGGTCATAAAAAGACTGTTTGCATGGTTTAAAAGCTCTTAGTGCTCCAATGTAAATGGGAGATATTGCACAACTATAAAACTACAGTTATAAAGATTCAGCACTTAGATAAGTGATAGAATTGTTGGGCAAACAACCAGACCACTAATTATAGAAAAGCCACTGCAAGCGTTTCAGGCAACACTTTTTCCATTAAAGTGTTGTAATGTTTAATAAGAGACACGCACACATACAGTCAGCCATTACACAATGCAATAACATAAATTGTGGCCTTTGGCTTTGCCTACAGGAGTTGCTTGGTTGCTCACCCTTTAGCAGACACGTTTTTTCCCTAAAGCAAATTACAGGATACTTTTTAATGCGACAAGTGTAAGTCATATTTCTTCATTAAATGCTCATTATTCATTTCTGACAAAGCGAGAGCTGATACATGAAAACGGATAATTACTATTTGGTTAAAAGTTCTACTTTTACTTCCACATGGACTCAATTCAAAACCACAAGTGACCAAACTCTCGTGCAAAGACATACGCTTTCAATCTTATTGTGGAAATATCACCTATTTAGAGGAACAAACAGAAGACAAAGATAAAACCATAAAAATGTGCTGTGGTGAATCGCATTTAATAACATCATGAAGCCTTAAACGTATACGTATAAATATTTTAGATACATGTATATTAGCTAAAGGCTTTCACTTGAATTGAGGAACGTTTCTGTCTATTTTTTTGACTAGTTTGTTTATCCCATTAACAAGGCTTTTCAAACCGAGTCATAGGATATGAGTCAGCAATCAAATACACAGCGATGACTGATGGCCAGGTGGTTCTCTTACCAGCTCGGGGTGCATTATATTTCATTTTCCATCAGCTGGTTTTATAGTTAGGTCTGTGTCACTACTGCCAAGCGTTTTGTAGAAGTGAAAAGGCATGTGGTTTGAAACGTCCAAATAAGTCAGATCCGAACTCTCTGCTTATCTATAATTCAACTAGAAACAAACTCATGTAAACTGCACATGGAACGATCTAACCTCTGCAGCCAGTATCCTTGGTCTGTTGTAAACAAGTAGATGTGCATACCTACATTACTGAAATGGCGTGATGTAGTACGAGCTGTAGTCAAACACTTATTCTACGCCAAGACATGCCGATCATTAAATCGCCTTACAGCACACTTTGGAATGCATTAGAACGATTAAACTATGGCCTCGCTGTGTACTTTGTCTTAAAAATGAATTTTTAAAATAAGAGTGCAACTTTCATCATCCACAAGCAGCTCTTACATCACTCACTGGAACCAAGAAAACATATCAAGTGTCACTGCAGTGCATATCTTTATTGTTATTCATTGATATGGAATATTAGTTAGCAGTAAACACACTTGCATAAATGTACTTGGTCAATTAAAAGTACACAATAAACCTAAATCAACATTTAATCCATTATATCATGCAGCAATGACGGGTGTGGCTAACAGGAAATAACATGTCATGCAAGTTAGTGCGTGTATTTCACCTTGGCTACAATATAACCTATTTACTTGCTGCATCATTAAATTATGGTTTGCGCATATTATGAAGCACATCATTTCTAAAAGTAACTGTCTGAAAACAAGAGGACTCATACATAATTGAAGCATTAAAGTCAGGCCAAAAACAAACAGCCTTGGACAGACATTGAAGCCTAACCATATTACTGTCATGTGATACTAAACTTTAATGAAATGCAGACCGTATCTTCTATTTCAAGGCTGACAACAAATGTAATCTAGTAATCCAAACTGAACTGCAGAAGTACAATGGAAGTACAGTTTATCATGTGGCACAGGCACACGTACAAAAAGAAATCTAACTATCTGAGGTCCAAAACGTATAATAAATAAAATATTAATTTCAAGATAGCGATAAATACAAAACCGTAAAACTATAAAAATAAGTAGGCCCATTTAAAAAAAGTCAGTAAATGGAATCAATTGGAAATGCCAACAATTATAATAATAAAAAAATTATTAAGGCACGTGTGCCAAACTGTTGCAACACAACTCTGTCCATATGGAAAATGATGAAATATGAATGCCTGACTCTGACTCAGAGCCATATTGGCAAACAGATAGTGTATTGTCCAACTCTGTTTTAGCTTCAAGCTAGTATTTCTCAACCATGGAATGATGATAACTCCAGGGTCTGTCTGAACAGGAAGACACGTACTAAGATAATGCAAGTCTCGGACTTCATACTTCAAAACTCTTCAAATGATCCCGACATCCTGTGTGGCATCGTGCTGACAACTTATCTGCGATGGATCATCATCACAATTTCACGGAGAACTGATTTCTTTCATTCGGTACCCTTATAGGAAAAAAAAACCAAATGAAGATTCGAGATGTGAGAAAACGAACAAACAACGAATTAAACGCTCTGCTACAAAAGCCTGCCACTCCTCCCTTGGCGTTGTCACCGCAAGTCCTCGACAAGCCTTTAAGGAAACGACAAAGGAAGTGTGCACAAGTCCAAGCTCTTTCCGTTTCACGCTAGAATAGATGGTCCTACGAAGTACACACTAATCTGACCTAGCAACACAGAGGAGGAGAAAGTTTTACCTCCACTGTAAATGTCCGGAGCTATCCTGCATCAGATAATGACACACAGACCCTAAAACTTTGTTTCTATTCAACATTCAATTCCTAAATCATTCAAGATAAGCAAGAAGCACCCTGTTCTGTTTTAAACAAAACACATTGTAACCTTCAACTACAACCAAGGTTGAAAGACATTGCTGAACATGAATGCGGCAACCACGCATACAGAAAATAAAAAAATTAAAATTAACTTTATTTTTGAAGTTACTCTAGCACTTTAAAACTGTACATTATTACTATTTGACTGCTTTAGTCTGCTATGGAGTCATCTGCCCTGGCATAACAGAAGAAAGCTTTGGGTGTGGCAGGAGAAGGGGGATGGGCTCCAAATGTTCCTCTGATGAAAAATCTGCTCACAAACATTTTTAAAAGATAGCTTAAATCAGATAAATTGCAAAACAGCATTTTTGGATGTCAACACTCCATACGCATCTCCAAACTATCAGCACTTATCTGCAACTCCCCCCTTTTTGTCCTTCTCACTCTTTTATCTATTCCTTCCATTCTCTTATTCTGTTATATAACAACATTTCAGTCATCCTACTGCAAAGCAGCTCCATAACTAAAGTCATGCAGCAGTTGGGCGTGAATAAAACACCACATTCTTTCTTCTCCATAGCAAGCCTTACTTTCTCCCTGTGTGCTTCAAACCTGGTTTCAATTAGTACGTCTTTCCAAACCACTACATTCCATTACCCCCTCCTCCCTTCACCCCTCTTACTCACTCACTACCCACACCCTGGCCAGGGCTCCAGGTTAAGAAAATCAAGGCAAAATGTTAAAGGATTTGCAAACTAAATTAAAACGATCACATTTTATAAGGCTAACAAGAATGATTCAACCAAATTAACATTTCATATATATATATATATAAAGAGCGAAATATGAGAAAACAATTCACCCACAGTGTAGAATATGTGCTGACGTCGTCCAAAAATCTTGAGCTATGACCAGATTTGGTATGGCAGGATAACGCTTCTTTTCAAGAGGAAAGTAAAAAATGTAGTGACACACGAGTTTTGTAAAAAAAAAAAAAAAAAAAAATGTTTAAATAATAATAATATGAGTAGATAGCTTTCTTTTAAACCAAATAAAAATAAAAATTCGTTTTATTTTACAACGTGGGCAAAGTCATGCAACCAAAGTCAGGCTACCTTCTTATCCACGTTGCACTTGGGTGTATCTTTTGCATGACATGCAAAAACCCAGAAAATTTGCCTTAATTGTGAATCCGGTTTCTTCAGAGTGATTTAGTAGGTCAAGTTAAAGAAACTAAACGCTTAATTCTGAACAAGGGCGAACTTTAGTATTGTTGGGGAAAAAACGTGCGCAACAGATGACAATCACGGAGCAGATAGATACACACCCACCCTCTTCATGTTCAACAATAGTTTGTGAGATTTTGTGAGACACAATAAACCAAAAGAGCAAATATATAACGTTATTACACATAATTTAGAATATAATAAGTCAAGAAGCAGTCTCTGGAAAAGTACTTTGGAAAAATATTTTATGAAACGTGCGCATCGCATGCCACAACTGCATAACTAAGTAACTTCAAGAGATACACAAACTTACCTGGAAAGTTCAACACCTTTGCTCTGGCATCTTCCGCGGTCCACAGCTTTCTGCCACAGCCCAGAAAAGTTTTCCACCACACTTTCTAAACTAAACTTGAACGTATTCGTGTATTCTCTCTCGAGGCGCGAAGCCTCACTTTATATATTTTTTCGGGTTTTATTAGTTACTTTGTCACTTGCTCTCTCTCTTTCTCTTCCTCTCACGCTCGTGCTGGTTTTTCTCAGTGTGCTTGTAACTCCGGGCTATGGAGAATGGCAGAGTTTGGGCTAGGGCTGCGGAGTTCTTCTGGAGAAGAAGGCGGGGGTAACGGTGTAGCAGGGCGTGGGCCTTTATAATTTTAGTCCAGCCCACCCACTGTTTGAGTGACATGTATGTTTAAAGGGGTCATATGATGTTGCTAAAAAGAACATTAATAAAAAACACATAAATGTGTTTATGCGGTTTAAGGTTCAAAAATCACATTATTTTCCACATACTGTACATTATTGTTTCTCCTCTATGCCCCGCCTTTCTGAAACGCGTCGATTTTTACAAAGCTCATCGGTCTGAAAAGCGAGGTGTGCTCTGATTGGCCAGCTATCCAGTGCGTTGTGATTGGCCGAATACCTCAAGCGTGTGACGGAAATGTTATTTCCCTTACCATACTGTGATGCCGTCTCCCTGCACGACCAGACAAAACCAATAAAACCCATTACAAAAGAGGCATTTGTTGCATCCAGTGGGGACATAATTACGGATTATAATGACTTATACTGTCTTTTTACACGCTGCGTTGCATCGCGCCGCGTAAACATAAAACCATGTCTGCATTTGTGATCGGAAAAATGACAAACAACAAGCTCTACTCT